TCTTACACCCCAAATGTCATCCATCGTGCCGATATCCACAAAAGCTTTTCTTGATGGTGAAGTTTTTGATGTTACGAACAGGTTACTGAGTATATTGGTGAAATAATACGTCTGCACAGAACTCTGGATCAATGCCACTAAAGCGATATGCAGTAAGATCAGGAAGGTCCTGTTTGGAAAACTGAATACGCGTACCGTAAGTGACTAGTACAAGGAAACAGCCATAGTTGGCCAGTCTGAAGATCGATCTGGCTGTCATCTTTTTTGTTTCATCACCAGTCCTGTCTAAAAAATGACGTTTATAAGGACTTTTCCCCAGTTCCAAGTGGAGGACCTACATTTTGATGCTTCAATTATAGCATCTTTGATCGGCATAAATGAATTCGTTGTAGGAGCAGATGGTGTTTCATCGAATTCCTAGAAAAGAAGTTTCTGGAAAATGTCTTTGCACAGGTGGAGTAACTCTACCTTAACCAAATTACCAAGCTAGTATCAATTTGCTATTTTCTCACCTCTGTCGAAAGAGTATGGCCCTCGCTAGCCGGGGCTTCCGCCACATTTGGAGGGCTCTCATAGACCTTATCATCATAGGCTACACTAGCTGCAGCAGCCATCATTCAGACTGGAGGAACCCTACCAAATCCAATACTTATCACAAAAAAAGTCGACTAAATCCGATGCTCGAGCCAGCCATACATTTTGGAAATGCGCAATATGAGGCAGGTGTAGCTGCCTTCTATGATTTCATAAATGAGGTTGCCCAGGAGCACAATACGAATTATAAGCGGAGTTTAGAGAGCTTCTGTATAATATAGGAAAAACGTACAATTGCAAAAATGAAATACTCTGGGGAATTTTGAGAGAGATTTCTTCAAGCGGACACCTCTGAGTGAGGCTTATGAGCGAATGCCAACCTTCAGTGCCGTGGGTTACCAGCGGATACGAAAGAAATTGCCCTCGGTCGCTAGGAGGTCTCCATCGAACGGCAATGAAATAAATCCACTCTATTGTGGTAGAAGTACGGTGGCTTTTCCACGTAGAAAGCTCTGTTTCCTTGAAATGTTTGCGATAACCAAACAAATAGAATAGAGCGGCTGGCGTTTTGTGTTGTCATGGGAATGCGCTATGAATTTGGCTTTTGTTCATACTCCAGATGGAGAAATAGGAAAATTGGACATAGTAAGTTCAAGGAGCCTAATAAAGCTCGAATCTTAATCTAATTAGAAGCTTCATTTCTTTCATCCAAGCCAATCTGATACCAAATATTCGTGTGGGGTTCAGGGAAAATTTTCATCGCGAGGGTATATACAACTTTTTAGCCCGGGCATTTTGTAACAGCGCTTTTAGGCCGATTCTAGAATTTTTTGAAACGGACACGCTTGCGAGGATTTGCTTATGATGTCATCTCACGGACATTTCACTTGTAGGGTTCGAAATTCTCTGGAGAAGTCCTCTTCACTCTCCAGGCCAAATTCCCGAACAAACAAAACTTGAGATCGTTTATGTACTTAAGTAACTGTACCTTGACCCTTTTTACTTCATCTTTGACTACTAATGCCTTTTTTGAGTGTGTAACAAATAAAAGATGGAAAATATAAAGTGCACGCAAATATTTACTTCCCCTTGGTGACAGTATGTCCTTTAAAATGAAAAGTACAAGGTAATAGTTATTTATGTGACATTATTCTTCAGGACAATCAAAATGTCTTTCTGATCAACCATTTAGGAAAATTTGCTGTTAAAAACTTCTCAGTAGAGGAAATCTTTGAATTCGAACTAATCAGTTAATTGAGACATGAGTCCATTTCCTCCACACTTATGAATTGACATTTTTCGTGCTCATTGTGTCCTATGGTTGTCCGTTTTTCAGTTCACACGAATGTGAGTCACGTTGTTTTGTGCTCATCTCATCTGAAATTAGTTTTTCATTGCGATGAGTCAACGATTCAATGATCAATCACTGCCAACTGAACTGACACCCACCAGACAGACCGAAGGTGCATCCGTCCATCGCTGCCCTATCAATGGGCGACGTGTGTTTTTTCTTTACGAGAGAAATCGGAATCAGTAAAAAGACAGCAAGAACATTATCGGTTTTCTCTCAAACAGATTGGCTTTTTGAATACTC